AAAATAATAAATAAATAAAAATAAAATAACTTAGAGTTACAACAGATTATAAAAACAGCAGGGAGATTTTTATGTTCCTTTTACCCAGTTTTCTCCGACGTTAGCTTTCTGTATAACTACGCTGTATTTATGCAAGAAATTAGCACTGGTGCGACACTATAAACTAAAGCACAAGCTTTATTCTAGTTTCAACAGCTTTTCTAGTCCTTTACCCTTTCCTTTGCCATACTGAGAACACGGCCAACTTTCAGACCACGCCTGGGGCTCTGGGTAACAGATGACACTGGGACCCCTGGGCTGCGACTCTAACACAGCTGTCATCGCCCCATTGGCCGGGGGCCTCCCTCTCACATGCTCAGTGCGTGCTGCGCTCTGAGACACACTCCTACCCTGTTAGAACTCAATTATTGTGCCAAGCACTTTCTAATTCTCTGCTCAGTCCTTGCAGCAATCCTATATGGTGGTTGTTATTAATCCCGCATTATAGATAGGGCAGCTGAAGTTTGGAGAGATTAATGGAGGCCTAAGGAGTCTGGCCCCGGAGTCATGCTTTTTACAAACCAGGCGTGTGTGATGGTGCATGCTTGTAATCCAGGCTCTCAGGAGGCTGAGGCAGGAAGATTGCTGGGAGTTTGAGGCCAGCCTGGGCTACATAGCAAGATCCTGTCTCAAAACAAACACCCCCCCACCGCCCCCACACACAAAGTCATGCTTTTTACAATGTGTGGTTTCTTTCATGAGGTTGCTGTAGAAAAGAGAGTGGTCATTGTCACAGACGTCACCATGAGTGTCAGGAAGGAGGCGCCCCCGACGCGGTGCCAGGGTAGAGCTGGCTTCTGTCCCCTCAGGTGGCGTTCTTGCCTTTCCTCCTTGCTCCCCCGGCAGCCCCAGATTCTGAGCCCAATCCCCAGAGCCCCAAGAAGGCGACCTGATAAAACCCAAGTCCCTGGTACAGGGCATGGCTCTGTCCTGGCCCCTGGATGGCCCGGGCCGGCACAGGGGCGGACGGCCATAGGCATAGACCAGGATGATGACTGGCTTCTGAAGCCACTATTTCGGATCCTGCTGACCAGGCACAAGCAAGAAATAGAAAGAAGGGGCTGGGGATTTAGCTCAGCGGCACAGCGCCTGCCTGGCAAGCGCGAGGTCGTGAGTTCAATTCCCGGTACTGAGAAAAAAAAAAAAAAATAGCCAGAAGACTGAGTTGTCAGGGGGAGGGGGACACAAGGGGAACAGGGGCAGCAGCTTGGCCTGCTGAGCTGGGTTGAGCTTCATCTGCACTGGGGATTTGGGCCCCACCAGCCTAGAGGCTGAAGGGAGAGCACTTTCCATCCTGGAGCCGAGCGGAGCCAGGGCTGAGTGGGGCCCCGCAGCACTGGGCCGTCCGCCACCCTCCAGGGAGGCCTGAGACAGCCAGTGGGGACAGGGATCGAGTGCTGCAGAGGGGTGGCCACCAGAGCTGCCCTGGGGCCACAGCCTGGAGATCCTGGACCCAGGACGGAGCTTTCCAGCCCTGTCTCCTTTCTTCCGAGCCTCAGTTTGTTTGTCTGTAAAATGGGGATACAAGTTCCTCCCAACCAAGCAGTGTACGCGTACTGTATGTAGATTGTGAATTGCAAAAGGAGTGAATGAGAATTAAAACCCAGCCCGTGGCTCCCCTGCCCAGCCAGCCACCCTGACTTTGGGCCATGTCCACGTGGGGGGAGGGGGACGGCTTCACAAAGCTGGCTGCCCTGGGGCGCTCGGTTCTGTCTGATGGTTTGGTCTGCCTGGGGACAAGTTTGGGAAGGGGGATACCTGTTCCAAGTGTGCACAGGGAAAAGCACTTGCTCTCCAGAAGAGAGCAGAGGGCAGAGAAAGCAAAGGCTCCGCAAGCCCCACCCCCCCGGGGGCGGGCAGAGCTGGCCCCAAGATGCTTGGTGGAGACCAGCAGGTGGCGAAGGGAGAGGGGTGCTCGCCAGCGCAGGGTGCTGGGGGTCCGCCCAGAAGTGATGTCCACACGGGCCCCAGGGAGAAGCTGGCGCTCGCCCAGGGAAAAGGCGAGATCGCTGCACTCAGGTTTTGCAGCCTGAAGCCTGTGCCCCACAGAAGTGGTGTTGCACACCTGTAATCCCAGCGCTCTGGGAGGCTGAGGCAGGAGGATCGCAAGTTCCAGCCCAGCCTGGGCAATTTAGCAACTTAGTGAGATCCTGTCTCACTATAAAAAGGGCTGGGGACCTAGCTCAGTGCAGAGGCCCTGGGTTCAACCTACAGTTCTGCAAGGGGGAGGAGGTGAGCAGGAGGGGAGGAGCACACGTTCTCAAAGTGGCTTACAGTTTTTTTGAGTGCGTACTATGGACAGGAACAGAATTACAGTGTGGCTGGAGAGGCCGGAAGTGGCAGCACACACCTGCTGTCCAAGCTACTTGGGAGGAAGAGGCAGGAGAATCTCTTGAGCCCTAGAAGTTCCAGATCAGCCTGGGCAACATAGCAAGACATCGTCAGCAACAACAACCAATCAAGCCAGTGCTGCTGGAGACAGGAGGTTATGAGAGGGTGTGAAAGCGAAGCACCTTGCTTTCTGCCTGCGCAAGGTGTCCGCATTCAGGGGTTTGAGGAGGGAGGGTGAGTGATCCGATTTTCATTTTAGTACAGTGTCAGCCTGGGAGCGGCTGGAGCTGGAGAGCCCACCACCAGGGTTTTGCAAGAATCGGGTGAGGAGCCGTAAGGAAAATCGACCTATGTGAGCACATCCGGGGTATTTAGGAGTCCAGGGTGAGGTCTGTAGTTGGCTCAGGAACACTGTCTGTGGAACCCGTCACTAAAACAAGAGACTTGGAAGAGGCGAGCGTGGGCGTGGGAGATGCAAAGCTCCTCTGCGTTTGGAGTTCAAGTGCAATATTCCCAGGGAAGTGGCCAGTGGAGGCAGAGGCTTCGAGCTTGGGAGAGACAGTAGGGCCAGATCTGTGAGGGCTCTTCACCTGGGGATGGCTGCTGAGGCCGGGGAAGTAGAGGGAACCCCAAGCATGGCGGGGGCACGGCACAGGCCCGAGAAAGCTGGCTTCCAGGTCAGCCAGAGAGAAAGAAGCGGGCC